ACACACCTCTCTCTCTCTCTCTCTCTCTCTCTCTCTCTCTCTCTCTCTCTCTCTCTCTCTCTCTCTCTCTCTCTCCAGAGACTGCAACCATGACAGGACAATCAGGCACCAAAGTAAGCAGTAAGTGTGATTTATATTTATTAATAATCGGAAACATTATCAGATGTATAATTAACAATTGTATGAACTGACAGATTTTTTTTTTTTATGTAAAAAGGCAAAACCTTTACATCTGGTGGCAGACTTTTCTTACAACCAAAGGCCAAAGCAGGCCAAAGTAAATTTTATATAAGCTGTTTAATTTTGAATTTTTAAAAACATTTTTCTTTGTACACTGAACAAAATTATAAACGCAACACTTTTGTCTTGGAGGTGAAGATGCTGGATGTGGAGGTCTTGGGCTGGTGTGGTTACACGTGGTCTGCGGTTGTGAGGCTGGTTGAATGTACTGCCAAATTCTCTGAAATGCCTTTGGAGACGGCTTATGGTAGAGAAATGAACATTCAATTCACAGGCAACAGCTTTGATTTCCTGGTTATCTGGTTATCCTGCAGTCAGCATGCCAATTGCACACTCCCTCAAAACTTGTGACATCTGTGGCATTGTGCTGTGTGATAAAACTGCACATTTTAGAGTGGCCTTTTATTATGACCAGCCTAAGGCACACCTGTGCAATAATCATGCTGTCTAATCAGCATCTTGATATGCCACACCTGTGAGGTGGATGGATTATCTCGGCAAAGGAGAAGTGCTCACTAACACAGATTTAGACAGATTTGTGAACAATATTTGAGAGAAATAGGCCTTTTGTGTACATAGAAAAAGTCTTAGATCTTTGAGTTCAGCTCATGAAAAATGGGGGCAAAAACAAAAGTGTTGCGTTTATAATTTTGTTCAGTATAGTTTGCATTTTTATGAAGTCCTCATATTTTGAACACATCTACATACAGTTAAAAAAACTGGTTTGTGTAATTTAGCAATTTTCTAACAATAAACACAACAATTAAATAGCCAAAAATAATCAAATTAAGGAGAAAAATAAATAAATAACTGCAGTAACAAAGTTGCACATTTAGTCCAAATTAAGCTGTCATTCAGTAGGGGTTAAGTAGTTTGGGACCAAATTTAATTTTATATGTATAATTGGGAAAATTCTGCTCCAACAGGATCACATGCACAATCTGGGACACAGCTACATTCTATGTTTGGTTATTAAAATGTGTTTATAATTAACAATATCAATAATAAAAGACCATCTGAAGGTGCTTTCTCATCTGTTAACCCAATTCAACAAGTAAGATACTTTATTGTCATTGCACAAGGTACAATGAAATTTAGAGTGGCAACTCTCATATATGTCACACTTTAAAATGTATAAATAATACAAAAAGCCACTGAAGGCACATTGTACACGGTATAAGATAGTGTGTTGTAGTGCATGTATTGTATGTAAATAATAATAATCTTTTTTCTCCTAATATTTCAGACCAGAAACCTTATAGAGACTGTGAACACAGGCCAATACAAGGTTAGATTAAGTTTATTTCTTTCTATTCATATATTTCTCTTTCCAATATCTTATGATGTTTTCTTTTTGTATTCCCAGATTATCAGAAGTTTCTAAAAAAAAACTTAAGTCTGTTGGTTCAAAACGTGAAGAACATTGATCCAATTATTGATGATCTTGACCTACATGATGAATCAGTTGCAAATATGAGAGTGAAGCCAACAGATCAAGATAAGATGAGGAAACTGCTTACCTGTGTGAATTGTGAAAGCATTGCTAAGGACCTGTTCAACGCTCTGTGCAAGCATGAAAGACGTCTAATGAATGAACTACTGAACAGCTACTGAAAGTTGTATTATTTACCCACCAGATTGGCAGCATGTTATTAAATTAAATGGAATATTGTACTGTCAATGCCAACTATACATTTTTTAAAAGTTAAAAAAAAAAGTGATTGTTCCTGGAGTTTTCCTTTTTTATTTAAATTGAGAACCAAGTATATTGTACAAACAAGAGTACATATGACCAAACATTTCAGGGATATATGTGCATTTTACATATTAACCTTTTGTATAGTTTGTACTGCTTTAAAATTTTGTATTGTTTCTAAATATAAATATTTTAATGTTGATTTTAAATTGTTTAAACATTAGCAGTTGGTCATTGCATTTTATGAATATAATAAAGATAAAATTATAATAATCCAAACAATGCATTTTTATCACCATTAAATGAGAAACACCTTAACATAACATCAGCTCTTTTACTGCTTGCTAGGAAGCACACTTGCTTTTTGTTCTAGTAAGTGTTCTAGTAAGTGATGGATGGTATTAAAAATGGAACTGATGGAACTTAAAAAGCACATTTCTACTTGTCTATATTTATATAGTTTTACTACTGGAGTCATGACAGAAAAAAATCCCCAAAATATTATGCCATATTTGCCCGTTTTCACGTTCATCCGTTTGTAAACAAATCAAACACAAACACAACTGGAGGCGCAGTAACAGAACTCAGTCACTAGGTGGGGATGGTGGTTCAGTACAACGAGTGAAGAGACGGAAGGAGGGGCTTGAACCGTGACTGAGCACCTGTTGGCGTTCAGCATGGCACAGGTAAAAAATAAATACAAATGTAATATGAATTGTAAATCATTGTTCAATCTATAGAGCTGTTTGGGGATGCGTTCATGCTGCTTGGTGGTTTGAGGTTTGTTTTTGTAAACATTTTGTAAGGATTGTTTCATTCTCCTCTAGACTGGGAAATTGTGGGAAATTATAAGCGCTCAGAAGGGCACACATGCCCGAGTTCCTTGTCAGGCATTACGTGCAGAGGGTACATAAAAAGTAACATTTTTAACATTTAGCTCTAGATTAGAACCAGGCTTTGGGTCAGTATCTTTATTGTGCTCTAACATTACTTTTTTTTATGTCATTTTAGTTTACATTTTATTGTAAATAAATTTGCTCCATGTATGTTGGACAACTTTATATTTATTTATTTATCAGTTTTTTTTAGGTTTTTTTTTAGCAAATCTGATGTTAAGCATCTGTGGCACAATTTAAAACAAAAGCATGTTAAAATCTCTAAATGAAAATTGAAATTTAAAATGAACAGAAAATGCCAGTATTTTATCTTAAATTTTGAGGTGGAAGACAATGTTGACCGAAATCATTTCAAGTAAATGTCTCTGTTGTTGTAAGCTAATATGTATGTATGTATTTATGTATTTAATTATTTATTTGATGATGAAGATGAGTTCAGTCAAAGCCAACTTTCGGTCACTTTATGGGTCATCCGTTTATTTATGTGTATTTGCTAATTCTCTGCCGTGTAATTCTTGCTATAGACTAATGATATTGCTGAAATTATTAATGGCTGTAATAGAAGATGTCATAGTCTTTCACTGATTGCACAAAAACCATTTGACATGGCACTCATTGTCTCTCTTCTAGAACCTAGTTAAAATCATATTACTTTATTTCTTTTGTTTATATATATATATATATATATATATATATATATATATATGTATGTGTGTGTGTGAGTTTGGATGTGTCTGTGATATACGGCAGCTGCCTAAGTAAGCAGTAAGGTAGTTTACTGGTTTTTGGAATGGAGCCATCATGATACCGCATTTGCAACTGTCCAAGTCACTGGTGTAATGAATATGAAGCGTGTCTTTTTGGCTGTTTCAAGTGCTGCAGCTTTTCCTCATTCAACCTGAAGTGTCCTCACTGCAGTAGACTAATTGTCATTCCTCCTCTCGCCTGCCTGTCTGGTGTTCTCGGGATAGTCTGATGTCACAGCTGTAAGCAGATCACTGCCAGGCAGCTCACGCATCTCGCAGCAGACAGTGTAGTGGTAAACAGGGTCAGAGATTTCTCCTTCCTAAACGACTGATGTGAGTCGAGAGTTCCTATTACCCTTAAACAGCTTATACCAGCATGCATTTATGTTCTGGGTTGCTTATGCTCGTTTGGAGTTTCCTGCTAGTCAAGAATACATTGGAACAGATGCATGCTGTCTGGAAAGCTTATCTGAACAATTCTGATAGACTTTAATTGAGAGAGAGAATGAGTGGCCTACTAGACAAGATACCATGTGTTAAATGCAAATTATACTTAATAGCTTTTTTAACATTGTCATTTGAGGTCTATACATGAAACGTGGAATTTGACATTGCAAGAATGAAAACTAGAACAGGCTAAAGTCTTAGTAATGTTTTTGTTTATTTTTTAAAATTAAAGGAATCGTTCACCCAGACATTAAAATGTAATCAATATTTACTCACTCCCATCTTCCAAACTTTTTGGATCTTCTATGGAACACTTTCATTGTCCATACAATGAGTGAATAGGTTCCAGTGTTGTTTTGGACCTCAGTGTTGTTCAAAATTAATTTTTTTTGTATGTGTGTGTGTGTGTGTGTTCCACAGAAAAGTCAGGTTTGGAACAACATGAGGGGGTAAACTGGTTCAACCACATGAAACTTACAGTTTATATAACAGATCTTTCATTGAGTGAAGAGTATGAGTTAGTCATTTCCAACTACATACATTAGTGTGTGAGTACTGGACATCCCAGGCTTATTTAAAGGCACACGTCAGTTGCAGTATTTCCACAATGCTTCCCAGAACTCTGTGGTCCTCTAAATAGCCACGTTGGGCTTAGAAGCATTCCGAAATAGTTTTAGCTTTCTCTATAGTAGAGACATGGGGATCACGGTGTCAAATGTCGGTTACTTCCTTCTTTTCTGTTCCTCTGACTGAGCTTCTTCCATACTGTCGCTCCCCTTGGGCAGGTTATTAAGTAGCTTTGAGCACCTTTCAGTGTGGGTTACCCTGAAGCTTTTAAAAAGAGATTCAAATAACTACGCTAGTGTTTACTAGAATGCTGGGTGTTAAGGGCCATTCACACAGGTCATGTTTTTGCATTTAGAAACTGCTGAACGGAACACGAGACATGTTTTTCAAAGATTAAAGACTTTTAACTTGGAAGTACTTTGGTAGTCACAGAGAAATGCAGCATAATGGCCAAAGACTTACATGTATACATAGACCAACAATAAAAAAATGTTTTGGGTGAACAATCCCCTCAGACCCAAAAATAAATACACATACTATTCAAGAAGCTGCTTTATTGTTGAAAAGACACTACCATTTATAAATTTGAGGTCTGAAGATCAAAGATTTATTTCTACAAAGATATTAACAATCTGTTTTCAACAATAAATAAGACAGTTTTCATGTGTACCAAGTCAGCATATTACAATGATTTCTGAAGGATCATGTGACACTAATTTCCCAGTAATAGAGCAATAGTGTTATATTACGGCAACGATTTTACTTTTTTAATCTCTGTTTTGTTTAAACCCTGAACATTTTGACCAACCTTTGAGACCATTAAGGACTCAAACACACTATCTTGTTCTTTTGCTACACAATGGTAAGTGGCAGAACCAAATTAGAGAAATCCTGTATGGACGGAAAGGAGGAAATCATACTTTCCTCTCTGATTTCAACACACAGATGATGCCAACATGATATCTCAGTCTGATTACTTGTCCTTTAAAACTCATTGACCTGGGGTTTAACAGCTGCTGTGTTAGAAAAGAGCAAAAAATTTTTTAAATCCATCAGAAACTTCTTTAGCTTGATTAGTAATGTGTCATTCAGAGCCATAATATACCATTAAAGTTGATTTATGAGGCCTTTCGGGGACATTTGGTCATGGGAAATGACATTCTGTACTGTATGTACCATCACTGTGGTGGATTTTGAGGGGAACAGAGCTGAGCTAGACCAACATAGCAAGTCAAAAAAAACTAGAATATCCTAAATAATGTACAAATATATGGAGATATTGAGATTTGTGTGTTTTGGCTGAGTGTTTACTAAGATTCATGTTTATGCTGTATTCATAAGAGATTATTAGAAGTATGTTTAACATAAGATTCTTTATCTCATTCTGTCCTGTTTACCCCACAGCTTAGTAAAATTATAGATGCCACTAATTGCATTTTATTGGCCGGTTATGGCTTTTAAAAAGCACAGTAATAAGCTAACAGACGCAGGATTAGTTTTAAATGGCAGTTTGATTAGGCCAAATCTAATTATGTCATCTTATTAAGTAAAGTCCCTTTCAGTGCGCCATCTGGACAGCATTTGAACTTTTCACCCTTTGTGCATTACAAAATAACAGCTTTTTACAATTCATAAAATGAAATTCATTGTAATCTGGTCTGGTGTGTCTTGAAATTGGAATTATGCTTATGGTGTTTCTTTCCTTTCATTTGTTAGTTTGAGCTCACTGTTACAAGAAAGCCAGATCATTTAAAGTAGTACAATACATGCTCCCCTCTGCCTATAGGTTATTAGTACTGTTTGACAGCATTGTATCTATTCAGCTGCCATTATGACTTGGAATAAGTGAGAGCTTTGTATGTCATTCTCAATAATTTCTGAAGCTCTTACTGAATATTAAACTATTACATAATATCTAGTGCGAATATTCACAGATATATGCATGCAGAAACATCTCATCTCAATGGTATCAGCAGCTATAGACATATTATTCCTTGAGTAAATATTTAGGCTAAGTGTTTTCTTGTGGTAGTGCTTGAATGGTGCTATCTGCATCAGCCCAAAGATTTTGTATTGCTTTTAGAGCTGGATTGTCTATAATCCTGCACTTTCTGTTTATTTGCTGACATGCATAGGGACTGTATGAAGGTAAATCTATCATACGAATGGGCCATCACTTAGCAGTTTATATTGCAGATCAATGTTAGCCCAAATCACTGATCATAGTAGTGTAAAAAAAAAAGTGCTTCATTTACATTATTCCAATGTGTAGATTTCAGCGAAATGTAAATTTCTAACACTTCTTGAATATAGTAGTAGTTTTTCAATTGGAAATATGAAATGAGACCATCGTCCTTTATCCATATTCCTCTATG